TTAACTGTAAGTGCTAAATATAATGTTCTTCAAACTTTACCAGGGTTCGTATGGTAATTAAGAGTCCTTAAAAGTTCTTAAGTTTTTTGGAATCTATTTTTGGTTCTTAAAAGTTCTTAATTTCGGTCAAAATCGACAAAAAGATCCTTAATTTTAATCATCTGAAATTTCTGTCTGTTTTTAAGACTGCCATTTTGAGTGTGAATTAATATTTTGTAGGAATATTTTTGGCAATTCGCTGACAAATATGGTTATCTTTTGAATGGGTTCATGGGTTTTAATTTGTTCCTATTTCCAATATAAATGGTGGCATACTCGAGTTTCTGAGCCAGAAGTGAAACATAAGCATTTCGAAATTATTTCATTTTTTCTAATGAAGAGCTCTTAAACAACTTTTCGCTTTTGGGGATGGGAATTCTTTTATTAAACGGTTCTAAATTTGGCGATTTTAAGATCTGTTCCTATAGAAAATTTTTATTTCCGAGATCTGGGAATTTGTCGACAATTTTTTTCAAAGCATTATAACATTGATAAATTTTATTTAAATAATGGTAATATTTTGGAATTATATTTAAGAAGTAACATTAAATAAAGCATTTGTATTTTTCACTGTCATATTATAAAGTTCAATTTTATTATTACGCAATATTTTTGAATGTGAAAAATAAGCAAAGTAAAATGCTTGTAAAACACCTTTTACAAAACATTTCTTAGCAAAAGCAAATAGCTATGTAATTAATTTAAAATGTATTTATTTATTTTTTTTATTTTTTTTTTTTTTATGGTAAAGAGTTTTTCTTATGTAATTGTCTCAGAATACGCATCAGTTTTCTCCAGAACTTAATTTGCGACCGACCCCACAGAAGCTCTGCTCCAGTACTTCTAAGTTTTGCAGTTACATCATAATTCTACCTGAGCAAAATTTCAGTAGATTTAAAATCTTGAAAATTTATTTTTAGTAATAAAATTATATTAAAAATCGCTTATTAAATTTTAATTTATCTCTTCGTATTTGTTAAATTTTAAATTACACTATTTAATTATTTGAAGCATTAATTAGTGAATTATTTTAAGAATTATTTAATTTTTTAATTATTAATGATTATATTAGTCATTTATTTATTTCTTTTTGTTCCTCTTTCCTGATGGTGTTCCACAGGGCTCCGGTACATCTAATTTTATAATTTAAGCTTCAGTTTTCTTTATGAAATTAATTTTACACTTTTTCCTGCGACTTTTTTTTTTTTTTTTTCCAAAATATTTCTGGCTTTATGCTGTTACAGAATTGGTAGGGATAATTTTTCTTTAGCAATTTAGGCATCGCAGCTTGGAAAGTTTAGAAAGAATATGAAGGCAAGATTTATAGACTCACGATTCTAGAAGTTTCCAGAAAAATGTAACAAAATGGTATTAACATGTAATTTCTTACTTTTTGGAGAACGTCTGGAGAACAATGAAAACATTATAATTGAATGTGTTACTTCTGATACTAGAATCGTTTTCTTAACATTTTTATCTTCCCTTTATTTTCTCAACTTCTCTCTGGACACAAGCACGGGAAATATCGGAAATGATTCTAATCTTATCATATGGACAGGCGTTATAGAAAGAAATTTTTTTACTAGTAAAGGAATTGAAAACTGACAATTTAAAAGATTCATCTAATATGTCATTGCATCATACACACGGCTGGCACTAGACATTTTCCCCACCTGATGCAGTCTCTGTGGATCCTAAATTCTGCTGCCTGGTGCCTTTCTAAATTCCGATTCCAGTGCCTGTTATAAATGCTAAAAGTTTTGCCATTTCTAGATTTTGTTGCTCGGTGTGTCACTAAATTCTAAAAATTATGCCACATCAGCTCTGTAACCAGACCTTATCATCTATATTTTATATTTCTCCTGAATGTTTATAGTATTACTAAAGAAATAAAATTAGCAGCTTTTTCTATACATTCTAAATGTATTTATATTATTTGGAATAATTAAATCCAAAAATTCTAAAATGAAAAGGAAACATGGAAGAAAGAAACTGAATACATAAAGGGAAAAAAAATTATTCTTCAAAGATATGTACAGTTATTATTATGTAAATTATCCAGTTATTTACAATTTCAGCCTTTACTATAATTTTCCATTTCTATTTCCTCACCAGAATGCAAATTACTTAGACAGTTTTTAAACTGTGGTTTCTGGAGTGTAAGACAAGTGTTTCTGACCTCCACTTGTTCCCTGCATTAGTTCCTGCTAGCTCTGATAATTTGTAATTATTCGTCTTGGATTACCGTTGCCGACATTCGAGTTTGTTATGATGATAGAGGGATTAAAATGAAATTCTATTGTATAGTCTTTGACTCCTAATCCATATTTTTAGTTTGAATTTGACTCTTCTTGTTTCATTACATCACTACAAGCTGTAATTGATTTTGTTAGCATAAGAACATGCCTTTATTTTTTAAGTTCTTTTTAAATAAGAATCTTACTTAAAGCTTTGTTGGACATTGTAGTTACTTTCAGACATAGTGATAATTTGCTTCATATCTGTTGATGTGTTTTGGACTATTTAACATTTACCAGATCAAATAAACCATCATAGGTACATTGCTGACAGGTGAGGAGATCAAAACACGCAGTAATGAGAACATTCTTTTGTGTGTTGAAACAAATTTCTAATTGTTAGAAAAGGTGCTTAAAAAGAAGGAAATTGATATAAATTAGCCAAAATGTCTGGGAAGGCTTCAAATTAAAAAGACGCATAAATATTTTATTGAGTATTGTTGCTACAAAACATAAATGTTTTGTAGCATTTAATGTGTAATTATCCGAATATCATTTAAGAATCAATGTCATAAATTACATGTATTTTAAATCGTGAAATTTTATTAGATTGGGATTTTAATAGTGCCTTTTTAACAAATATTGTTAAGAAATAAAATTTAATAGTGGTCATGTAAATCCATAATGACTAAGGTTATCGATTTATCTAATTTAATTATTTATAACTAACTGCATAGCCTTAAAAATTATCTCTACATATTAAAGCGAGTTATTGCCTTTCAGTAACTCTTTGTCACTGTGGTCACAAGATAAAATACAAAAATGTAAATATTCAAGTAAAACTTATTCTTCACATCTAGTGACACTTGAACATACTGACAAAATAACTTATCACCTCTGATGCTTTAATTGGGTTATTAGGAACCTTAAAGCCTATTATCTGAGTCACAACCCCTGAAACTCTACATGAAGTTACGACACTAACTGCCTCAGACGAAGCCCAAACTTTCAGAACTTGCCTCAGCTGTGCCTATATCGCATACATCAGGCCTCTCAGGTTTGTTTTGATCAGCAGGTCTCTCTCTAGGCAACAGTGGCAACAGGCAGTCTTTTGTTATGAATCATGCTGATTATGATCTTACTTCTCATTTTAACCTATGCCACTTGACATAAAATTTGCTTACTATTTACTAAGCCTCTAGACTGAGTGAGTGTGTGACAAAAAAGACATTAATAATAATAATAAACATAAAGCTAACTATTCGTAAAACATAAATAAAATGTCATTTATCTTCTTTCAGATATGTCCAATTATTATAAGTGTAAAATATTTAATGCTATTTGATAAATTTCATAAAGTTAATTTTATTCTCAAACTTATTAATAATAATGTTAATTAAGCTATTTTAATAATAATGCATCCTACTTACCGATCTATATTTTATTTTTAGGATGGCATTACAAAAGTGAAGTTCAGGCATAGATAATATTTTTAATTGAATTCAGTTCCCATTTGCTCATAGGCTCTTAATTTTTTTTTCATTCATGGTCCTTAAAAGTACTTTATTTCTGTGTGCAGAAATGTGTACGAACCCTGTTGACAGATAAAATTCAATTTAACAGGAAAATTGCAAAATATTTAAAAATGGCATACCTTTAGAATTTCCAATTGACAGTTTTGCACACTGGAGATAAAAAAGAATTAGAGAAATTAAATTCTGTACAGTTCTGCCACTGCTCTTTTTAAAACTGTTGAGTGAGTTAATAAAAAGTATACATCATTCTATGAAAACAAGGATTTATAATTAGATAGAGATAGATAATTAATTAGATGGTTTTTATTATTATTATTTTTTTTAATGAATACGATTCAAAAAAGCAATATTCTTAAGAACTGCATCTATTGCTACTCAAACAGCTTAGTCTGTTAATCCACAACAGACATTCAATTTGAAAGATAAATATCATACATTTTGCCAAATGGCAATAAGGCATGAATGAAAAGTTTAATAACACATTTATAGTAATTTGACAGAGAATCCCATTTCAAGCCTTATAGTCTCTTATGGGCAAAAAAAAAAAAAAAAAAAACCTGCAACAGTATGGCTGATCAATTATTTTCTTGAACACCTAAATAAATATCTGAATTATTTGGTGCATTACTACACCTAACGTGTTAAAGTAGAATAATTATAATTTCTTTTATGTTTATAAGCAACAAATAAATTGTTTTCGCAGTAAGCAGAAACTTACATATAACTGATGCATATATTTTTTTGCAAGCTAATTCTTTGCAATCCCCTCTCCAAAGTTAAGCAATCAAGACTACCGTACTGATCCTAGATGTGTGATTATCTGAGAACGTGTATAATCCACAAATTCCCTATAATTACCCTACTTATGTGCCATTTAAATTATAGTTTTTTTCATTCTGAATATTTAAATTTAATTATATTAATTTATTAATGGAACTGAGTAATTGAGAATTAATTACCAAAGAATGGTATTTTCATAATGTTGAAATTTTTGTTTTAGATCTGTATGTTCAAATTTTTTTTAATTAGTACATAATTTAGCAGTATTCTTTAATTAATGTAATAATTAAAAACCACTTTAAAAATTGTAATTTCTGCCTAATCTTCATATTTATATTAAATATTATATTTTACGTATTTAAAAATTAAAAGTGAAAATTCATTAATGCACCTTTATTCTTTAATTTAGATGGAGATAAGTTATCAAGTCGAACTCCAAGCATTGGACGTATCACTGGAAGTGCCAGTATTGAAACCTTAGTACGTGTGGGAATTGAAAAAGAAAATGGTCTGTCTCCAGATTCTAAAATGGTTGTATTACATGATTTTACACCCTGTGTGGATGATGAACTTGAAGTTAAAAGGGGTCAAAGTGTAAATATGTTGTATCAGGAAAATGACTGGGTGTATGTTATTGCAGAAAATGGACAAGAAGGTTTTATACCACACTCTTATTGTGCACCATATGGAACTCATTTTGCAGAATTAGCTCTGAATATTAAACACAAAAAATTACCTCGCAATGAGCGAGAACAAGAAATAGACCAGACATCTTCCAGAGGTACTCAGAGTGCTGATAGTGGTCAGCATTCTGATGTCGAGAGCTATGGAATAGTGCCTGAAACTAGTTCTAATAACAATGTTTTGTCAATAAATCAAAATAATCAGAGTAGTTCTTCTCAAAGCTCCCTTCCTGATGTACATCCTTTTTTTAAAGATCCTGCAGGAAGGTACATAGTACTTTACACTTTCATTGCAAGAGATGAAAATGATGTTAGTGTTGAAAGAGGAGAATTTGTGACTGTATTAAATAGAGAAGACCATGATTGGTTTTGGATTGTGCGTTCAGATGGTCAAGAGGGTTTTGTTCCAAGTGCCTTTGTATACCCAGCTGATGTTATTCAAGGTAATTTTCAGTTATGTGATGCACTTCTGTAATTATAATATGTTAGTACAGTACAAAGTCCAAGATCTGGACTCATTGGAACTTAGGTGATTCTGGATTTTAGATCATCAGTTTAAATCTAGCTAGATGACATGTAGAAATTATAAAATTAAAAATCTTAAATAGTTGCTTATGAAATAATGAAGCATTTATTACCTTAAAAGAATTAAAATTTACTTTAAAGAAATAATGGTAAAAAAAAAGCTCAGTATTTGTTTGCTTTATTAAACTTTTCATTTACTGTAAGTTGTTTAAGATGCTTCTTTTGTTGTGCTAATACTTTTTCTTTAATTTTATAGACAGACATAATTTCTTGTTCAGTTACAGTCCTACAATTACCTTGCCAAGAATTCTCATTAAAATGGCAATCAATTTTTTCCCCCTTAACTACCTCTCTGTCACTTTCTTCACTAATTTGTTATCCATTAGTTGATTTGTTATTAGTGTATTGGTATTGCAATGGAATACTTTTGTTATATCATCTTCATTTATTACCATTTATTAACACTTCTTTAATTGGAAAATTTCGCTTTGGGGTTGCGATATCCAGAACCATCAGATTTATGGATATCATTATAAAGCTTAGCAAGCATCCACTATACACTACTGTCTATGTATTGTAAGGTTGGTGACTAAAGGTATATTGTTCCACTGAAATTTGTCTTGTTCTTATCATGTGCTGAGGAAGTTAAGCCTGAAGTTTAGTTTATTATTTATTATACTTACATCTATTTCTTACATATGCTTAAGGGTTATCTGACTAATCTGGATGAAATAAATTCCCATATATACAGTATAAGGCAGCATATCCCCATTTTTATAGATTTTTTTAAATCATAAACGGTTTTTTGATATAAGAATAGTTTTATAAATTCCAAACGCACACACACCACTGCATGGCAGGTGATAGTCAATATATTATCACTTACTACGGGACAAAAAGAGTGGCAGGTGCATAACTAAATCAGACAGTACTATATGACCAATGAATTTCATTTACAAACTCTGTTTTTAGAAATTTCTGTTAAATTTCTGAATTACAGATGTCTGAAGTCTGTTATTATCGTCAATATTAATGTCAGCATAGTTACTATGCTGTTTGGTATTCAGTTACTGATATTTAAAACAAAAATTGTTTTAGATATTGCTGTGAGACATTTCTCAAGCTTCTGACATGTGATGAAAGAAAGAAAGAAAAATACTAAAAAATAGTTCACCATATTGGTGTAAGGGTTGTATAATATTCAATAGGCATAAAATCAGTACTAAACTTCGATAGGTTTTCGTTTGTGATATATGCCAAGCAATAAGGCATGAAAAAAGCCAAATTATTAATCATATAGATTTATGTTAATATAAATGATTGTTTCTTCAACATGATTGTGCTTTATTTAGTGCTGAAGTGTCATTGAGAACAGGTCTCTCCACATTCTTTATTATGAAAAAAAGGTCTGGTGTGCATGCGTAAAACATCCGGCATATGCCATTTTCAGAGTCTTTCTTCCTTTTCAAAAAAATTTCTTAACAAAATTGAAATAAAAATTTTCTGGTGATTCAGAGATCCAGACTTTGCACTGTACAAATTAAGTTTTTTATAAAGCAACGGATACTTTTAGCATCATATGAAGTTTAGCTATAAACATGTAACAGATAAATTTTCTAAGGGTATTAAATTTCTAAGGGTATTAAATTTAAGGGTATTAAAAGAAAAAATGAGATTAAGAATTTTAATAGCTCCGTAATGAGTCCTTATCTACAAATGAAAAAGGTTTTCTATAATCAGCTAGATTAGGTCACTAATCAAAAGTACTTGGATAGTGCTTGTCGTATGTGGAGGCCTCGGCAAGAATGTGAATTTGTCTCAAACATTTACTGATACACATGTGCGAGAAACAAATGGATGACGATATAACCAGTTTTTCATAATTGCATTGTGTTAATGCAAGGGTTCTCAAACACCTCTCACCACTGCTAGAAGTTCATTCCCCTCTTTCCTTTCCAAAACTTGAAAAATATGCATACATTTATTTAGATTGAGATTATTTTTTAACTTGTTTTAATGATTTACAAAAAGTATAGAAAATGTAGATAAATACCATGAATGAAAACTTGAATAAAAGTAGTTTGTTTTATATTCATAAAGTACAGTTTGTTTTATATTCATAAAGTAAATTTAAGTACTGAATAGCTAAATAAATGTTGAACACTTTCCACATATGAAACTAGGAAATTCCTCCTTTCATTATAAAATATACATTGTGCTTATTATTTTCAATCTTCCATTAACAGAAAAAGAAGCTGCAATTGATGTTTGAAATACTATTAACAGCAGTTACAAAACTGTGGCTATCAGAAAGAATTTAAAAAAAAAAAAAAATAAAATTTGATATATTATTATTTTAAAATTATATTAAATATAAAATAATATTTTTCCAGTATGTGTATGTATGATGTTATTTTAAATAAATTGCTTACAAAATTGTATTAAATACAGTAAGTTCTGTTGAATTATATTGTTTTAAATAAACTGCTGGCAGTATTAAATGCTATAATAATACAAATTTATAATAAATAAGTATTATTATACAACCACCTTTGCAAAATGTGCTAAATTGTGGCAAATGTGCATAACAAGTCTTCAGTCGCCATTTTTGTATGTGTTTGTATATTTCAATGTTTAAACATTCTCTGACGACCTTGATCATTCCTAGGTTGTAGAATTCTGTTTTTTTTTTTTTTTTTTTTTGTTTTTGTTTGTTTACCATAAACAGATTTGTTAGCATGGAAAAAATGTGTTTTCTTTTGATATATTGATAATGTTTGCCAGCTTACGATAAATATCGATGGTTTGGCTATCTCTTTTAAAAATGTCAGCAAAAATGCCAACTTTCATCTAATAAGTAATATTTACTCAGTGCATGCTTTTTACCTTCCACTGAAATATCACTAAATTTTCCCAGGGTAGTTATGTTAATAGGCAAGTATCTTAAATGCTTTCTTTGTGTGTATATTAATTAACTTGTGTTGTGCAGGTATTGAATGAATTGTTGATTTATTGTTAACCATAGTCAGTTTCGGTTTTCTGAATGTTTTACAACATTTGTCAACAGATTGCTCAAGACCAGATTATGATAGTGCTGTATTATTCTCTCATGATATCAAATATCTCAGAATGAAAAAGAATATAAAGAAGAATTTAAGCAGGAATGTTAAATCTTTTAATTTAATAGTTCAGGGGCTAGATCATTTATATCAGATTTGATACATCACTTAGTCAAGATTAACAAATGGCTAAGCAGTAAAAGCTGTAATATACTGTGGAATTTCAGTTCATGAATGCCTGACATCACGAACAAATCAGCTAATGAACAAATTATCCAAATAAAAAAATGTCTCAGATGACGAAGAATGTCTTGAGTAACAAATGCATCAGTACCAAATGATTTTCAAAGGTGTGTTAACGTTAATTCTGACATAGAAATAACACTATGGAACCGTTGTTTAAGATTTTCTATTGATTAACCCTTATTAACAAAACATTGCAGCAAACTATTCGGTCTGAAAGAAATTATGGCTAGATTGCATTTCAGGCAGAGATTTTGAGAGCTTTGACACTGAAGATTTTTTAAATCTATGATATTGTGTCTAGGCAAAGCCATACGATTGGAAGTCAACAATTAAAACAGTGAAATTGCTGAAGACTATAAAAATGGTTTCAACAAGAAAAATCTGAAATAATTTCAGAAGCAACAACAATATCCAGTTAGGCAGTGACTTCAAAGAGGGACATAAAAAAGATTAAACCCGCATATTTAGTCTACGAAATTTGCATAAAATGGGATAAGCTGCAAAGTTTCGTGTAATGAATTCTCTTTTAGCAGTAAAAAGTGATAGTACTATGCCTTACTTCAGAAACATCAAAAATGAAGATCACAAGACAAGTTTTGAGTGAAAATGAAGCTGAGTGAGTCTCAGAGTCAAATGATGCTATGAAACAAAGAAGGTGTCTCAGAAAGACAGTTATCAGATGCTTTTATGGAATGGGACTACTCATCCAAATAATCTTTTTTTTTTTTTTTTTTCCACTACCTCAGCATCTCATCTATTCTCATTCGTATGGGTACAGCGATCTGTTTTATCAGTTTAATAACATTATATGTTTTATCAAATTTTGTCTCATATTTAAGAATTTTTTTTTTTGGTTTTGTGTTATGAACTTGTACACAGAAGTACTATTGTAAATTTTAAATAAGCAATCATCTAAGGTCTGGGAATAGATTAATCATTTTGCATTCATTCCTGTGAGAAAAATAGTTTTAGTTGACAAATTTCTGGACTGAATTAGAACTGAGGTTTCACCATACTGATAGTTTGCTGAGTTTTCGCATGTAATCTAAATATAGACTTGTTTCTGTAAAAAGTTTTTAAAAGCTTAAGCACATAGGGTGATAGACCTAATGCATTTTAATGTATCTAAATAGAAATTCCAGGATAAAACAATTCTGTGTGCATGCACGTAATTGTAATGGTAGCGTATTAAAATATATTATTTATGGCAAACATTACATATTTGCTGTAAAACTGTTGTAAAGATGAGTAAAGGATAATGCTTTATGCGTGTTTTTTAAACTTTGAATAACATTAATCAGGTGTCCTCCAATCATCATGACTTACCTTAACTTAAAACTGTAAAGTAATTTGTTATTTTAAATAAAAATAATACAGATAATTGTTATTATCAAGAAATCATTACCTGGTATAATTTTGGATCAAAAACCAACAGCATCCATTTATTATGAAAAGTGTTAAGACAGTGTTTCTACTTCTGTCAGTAAGTGACTTGTGATGTCTGTATAGTACAAGATTTACTTCATTATAAATACACATATAATTTGAATAATTATAATTTTTTAATGACTAGAAATTGTTCCAGGATGGAGATAATTTTAGGTCATTAAAAT